GATTCTCAGAGTTGAGGCAAGGTTGGATATTTGATTTTACATTTAGAAAATGCATTGAAACCGATTATATTTCTTAGACAAAATAACAATCATCTGCATGGCTTTGTTGTTCTCTCCTGACTATAGAGACGGTAAAACTCTGTTTTCTTGCCATGAAACAATTCATTTAAGCCATTGTAACATGATTTACAACAGATGTGTAGTGCCCAGGAATTGTACCGATTTCTCGTTTTCAAATATCAAAATAATGAAAGTAAGCAGTTCTTAGGAGGGGACTAATTGTTCAACGCTCTGCAAATGTGAGATCCTCACATAACGTAACACGATGAATTTGCCTCGTTGATGCATCCTCGGTGTTTTGAAGTGCCTGGAGCCATTGTAGAGATATTACATATCTCTGAAAATCTGGAAAACAATATGGTTACGTCCATGTGTATCGGGCATTCGAATTTGATGAGGATTTCATTTCACCGCAATGAAATTTAACCCGCAGTGCTGAACGTAGGCCGCAATAAAGAGGCCATTACGTAAGATATGTTTTTTTAAAAGAACAGAATGCCTAATAATTCAATTAAAAACAAAACACAATCTATATATAAAATTCAGTATCTTCTGTTAGTCCGTCCGTTACACCTTCTAAAATAGCCATACATTGACCGATTGAAATCAAATTTTGGGGAGAAGTGCAAAGCGGAAAGGGGACACAAAGGGGACACAAAGGGGACACAGTTGATTTTAGTCGGGTGCTTACAATAAATTTTCATTCATTGTTTTGGAAAAATTAAAAGTTTTATTATTTAACGTACAAAATACTCACACTATTCTAAATGCAATTTAATGGTTAAAATAATAAACACTTATTTAATAGAAATGCAACATTGTTTTTTTTTCATATATTTTCTTTTTTCTATTTTTATATATACAAGAATCCAGTTTCCGTTTGCGATAACTATAAACAAATCACAAGGCCAAGCGTTTCAAAAAGTTGGCTGCAGAAAGAAATATTTAGGTTTAGCCAGCTGTATTTTGCATGCTCAAGAGTAAGAAATCCTAAAAAAAAATTATCATTCGATTTTTTAAAAGGAAATTTCCTTAAAAATATTGTTTACTATCAAATTCTATAAAATTAAATTAAAGAAATTATTTAACAGAGAATTTGGATTTTTGTCAAAGTATTCGATTCGTTTGGGAAATTGAACGATACGTAAAGTTTGTAAACCTCGACAAAAATGTTAGCCCTAACTTCACCGATACTAGATACTGTGAAGTTTTCAACAACGCTGACATTTCAATGTGTTTGGGTGTCTATCCGAGAACAATGCAGAGAATTCGGGAAGAGTTGGATGAGTCTAATGGTGATTACGTGGATAAGGCAGCTCGGAAAACTAACGCTGATAATTCTGATAAGAAAATTACTCTTGAATTTGTTGGTGAGACCCTCAGACTTAACAGGGAGGCCTACATCAAGTGGCTTGAGGAGGTAGTGCTGCTCTGGGTCAAGAGGGAAAGACGTGATGAAAAACCCCATGTCTGGCAACATGACTCTGCACCATGCCACACAAGCAGAAGAACACAGGCATGGCTATCAAACAATTTCTGCGACAACATCACCCCTTACATTTGACCACTAAACTCCCCAGATTGCAACTCACTTGATTTTTTGTGTGGCGTGCAGTTGAACAAGAAACCAAAAAAAAAAAAAAAAAAACTCCTTGTAACACTAAAGATGGACTGAAGCCAAGGATTATGGCAGCATTGACCAACTTAAGCAAGGAGACCGTCCGCAAGAGCTGCAGGAAATTCCGAAGTCCTCTGAAGGAAGTAGCTGAAGCAAATAGCGATTTTATTGAATAAATTTACTATTTAGTATTACAAGATATTTTTGTGCAATTTTGCTAAATATATCTGTTAATTTGAGATGTCAGTTTTATTTTCATTTTTGCGTCATTTAGACGACAATTTATCCATCGCACCCTTCATATTCTGTTATACGGTACTAGGAAAACGCCACACCTCATTTTCCAATCCTCATCACCCACAGACAGCAATGATAAAATCATACTGCTTTCAAATCTTGGATTCTTAATAAAAAATAAAGGTGTATAATCATCTTATGTTGTTCAAAAGCTTTTGCATGCCAGTGTATATCTGCAGCCAGTATTTTCTATATATTAATTTATGTTTTTCAATTACAACTCCATATTGTTTTTTCTCTTCATATATGTCCTAATAAAAGTATATCTTATGTGTGAAACAATTTCATTCTCAGAGCGATTGTACTTCTTGCATGCGAACGACATTATGGTGTGCATTGTAGCATTATCTTAGAATGAGTTTTAATTTCAAATCATCCGAATTTGTTTGAACATTGATGTGTACTATTTACAATATATACATCTGCCATGACTTAGTTTTTTCTCGTGTTTATCAATTATTCTGTAGTCTATTGATTAAATCTAGTATTTGTTTTACACAGCAAATATGATTTTTAACACGATCTCATGCCTTCTCGGTGCACTTAATTCAATGGTGACTTTATTTATGAGCTAGCTCTGACATTATGTATTAAAACTTGAGTTCAAAATTCAGCTAATGTCTATTTAATGCTATAAACATTGGACTATCATCGTATATCATCCAAGTCTGCAGATTATTATCGATTAAAAACATTTTAGTAAATAATATATGAGCTCAATATTTGAGCTTCTAAGCAACTAGTTCCAAGACAGTAAATAATTTTACAGAAACAAAACGCCAGCAACAATGTCTAGAAAAGAAAGTATTTTGTCTTTACATATATTAATAGCAAAATGGAAGACAATACTATAAACCGGCATATATTTTAAGCCCACATACTTCCGATGTTATCTCGTTTTTACATCTTCCTATTCGAAACACAATTGTACCATCATTCCACTCATACCCAGATGTCCTCAAGGACACATTGCACAGTGGATGAAGGCGTTGGTGAGATCCAGTGACTTCCAAAGGGTGTGAGTTCCATACCCGGTTAAGGCAGTGGAGAACTTTCAGAGGGAAATTAACAGGAGATAATTGATATCAAACATGGCACGTGGAACTAGAACAGTCTACGAAGCGAAATAAAGGGTTCAGTTCGACATTCCAACCACCTGAAGAAGGCCGGAGCGTACAACGGCCGAAACGTTGTGATAAATATGGCGACAAAGATAGTCCAAATAATGTAAACAATGTATAAATATTACATATAAATAAATATATAAAAACTATAGGTACATTTCCAAAACTATTACTATTATTCTCTCTCTCTCTCTCCCTCTCTTTCTCTCTCTCTATATATATATATATATATATATATATTTAAAGATATTTTTGTAGATACAAAATTTAATGATCGAAATAAAAGTGTAAAATTTAATATTACAAGACATATTAAAACAATATTAAATAATAAAAAAAACAAAAAACTCAACAACAAGTGGGGGGAAGCAACCGCTCATCAGGCTTCCACGGGAGATTCAAAATTAAAACAGAGAAATGTACAATAAGAATAGGTGGAAAAAAAATTATATATATATATAGACATGCATACATATATATATATATATATGCAAGAAGGAACTAGAGGCAGATGACAGCGAGTCCCAGCAAATACTCACGTTGTTTGCACAAAGAAGGCTTGCGGGACCCGATGCATGTATATATATATATAATTTTTATGTCCACATTATATATATATATATATTGGGTTGTTTTATATATATATATATATATATATATATATATATATATATATATATGCCATTAGCAGTATTTCGCTCTAGACATCTGGATGCCTCAAGCCAGGATTGATACCCAACCGATTTGGTGTCAGTCAGAGATCCTACCACTGAGCTATCTTCACCCGGCAGAGTTACACAGCTAAATCTAGCATATTATTTTTACGAATGTAAACAGATGCCAATCAGCCAAAGTGCTCCATTCATTTTACTGAAGAGATTTGCATAAGGTGGCTGTTGTTTATAGAATTAGCTTATCACTCAACAGTGCTCAAGTGAAATTGGGTTCTTGCATAATTTTCATGCGTTTTTAGGCAAGTTATTTGTTAATATCAGTTGCTTTTTTTTTTACACTTTTAATAAAAATATTAATTTATTTTCAAGATATAAAGGAAACGAGATTACTCAATATGGTGAGACTGAAAAGATAAATATGAAAGTATGAATACTCGAAAATAGCTCGTTAGCTGGATATACATCTCAGGCTATTTACATTCACTTTGAATTAATGTCTTATTGAAAGGCATGAAACCACTTCTTCCTTTGACTGTGCAAACCCATGAGTGAACCCAGTGACGTTAGGGCGTTGGTAAAGACTGTGGTATCGATCTGCACTGCCTGACGCAGGCACTGAACACCTGACTTTCGACGAAGTCGATGGCCCTCTTCAGTAGTTGTATATTTTTGCACTATCTGACCCAAACATAATATCTACGCTTTGTAATACGCATACACACATAAACGTATACTTATTAATGTTTGTAATTACACTATATATATATATATATATATATATATATATATGTGTGTGTGTGTGTGTGTGTGTGTGTGTGTGTGTGTGTGTGTTTGCGCGCGCGTGTCTGTGCGTGTATTTAAATGTCGGATTGCGTGATTTCGCTTACCAAACAACACCAAGCGATTGGTCGAGGCGAATGTGCTCTGAAGAAGGAATTGCGATTGGGGTGGTGGGGAGGTGGCGTAATGATTAGATTTCTCATGTAATCGATCATTCAATGTGGATTAACGGAAGAATCAATAAGGATACACAGGTCGAAGGAAGCGGATGCCGATGGACGAAGCATCATTCGTGCACATCAATTAAAATTCCTTAAATTGAACTGGCAAAAATCGATGAGGCTTATTGGTTAGATGCGCAAAAACATCCGAGGTCGATTTCCAGATAGACAGGCACATAGATCGATATAAACAACCCAAGATTAATTGATAGAATTATTAATGGACAGGCAGAAATCTAGACAGGCGGGTAGATATGAACGCACTGAATAGATAGATAGATAGATAGATAGATAGATATTTGGTAGATTGACAGATATGAATTGGTTGAGATTTTTACATCGCTCGATACGGGAAGACATGCAGCGTGGATTTCAATGTCCACATTATTTTTATATATATATATATATATATATATATATATATATATATATATATATATAGATAGATAGATAGATAGAGTCTGAGAAAACTAGATTACTTATTGTGAGAAAATTAAGACAAATATATAGTTACGGAAGAGTTTGAGATTGTTAGATAGTTGTATATTGGAAGACGTAGATAGATAGATAGATAGATAAATAGATAGATAGGCAGACAGTTATAAGACATTAATATATATATATATATATATATATATATATATATATATGCTCCTGAAAAATTTATTTCGGTTGATCTCTCTGGGGAGTAAGTGTGGGTTTGTAAAAAGTGACTATTATGGCTAATAATGCAAGACTCTTCGGTAATTCGAATCGAATTCTCTCAGTCACTGTGTGTTTATCTAAAAAATAAATATGGTTGAATTCACCTACATCCCTGCCGTGCACCAACAGCTTAGTGGTAGAATCCCTGACTCACATATTCCGTGGTAGAACTCTACTGAGTTCTCTGTAACCATAGGTGAGCGAGCGGCGCTATATTGAGTCTGATTTGCAATCTCTTCTTCACCGAGGTCCATTGGAACAGGGTTTACAACCTAACTGTCAGGGTTTCAATTCTCGGTAGTGGATGCACTGCTGATGAGTCCCAAATATAGGACGAAACGGCCGTCCAGTGCTTTCTGCATTCTGTTGAGGTTTCTATCAGACTCGATGAATTAATTTATATATATATATATATATATATATATATATATATATATGTGTGTGTGTGTGTGTGTGTGTGTGTGTGTGTGTGTGGCAAATTGTAAAGTACCCAATTACTTTATAAAAGCATCAAACGTATGATAATGTTCAGAATAATAACTACACAGGAAACGTGACACCAGCGTCAGGAGGTGGGAACAGAATGAAGGGGGTGAAAATTGCCATGGTCTATTTTACCTTACGTCAAGGGCTTATAGGAAAAGAAACAGTTCCAGTCTAAGAAAGAATCTTTGCTGAGTAAAGCCTAATACGGGGGTGAATATAACCAAGAATTGCGTATACACGATCCCTTTCAGTTGTGGCAGCGAATATAAAGGTGAAACAAGCCGCCCACTAAAAGTTAGGTTGAAAGAACATCGAAAAGCCGTAATGAGAGACGATGAAATCAGGCATGGATGATCATGTATGGAAGGAAATCAGCCCCTGTGAAATGAAGGGAAAATACTGGATGGGGAAGAAACCTGGAGAGTTAGTAGCCTGAAAGAATCGGTGTACATTCTAAGCTATGAGGACCTCCTTAGCAGGCCTAGCGTATAAATTCAATAAGAGTACCACTAATAAAGAGAAAAAGACTCAACCGCAGCAGCTGTAGTCAAAATCATGGGGAAGCATCAGTCAAAACCTGACAGTCAGCAGCAGCAGTGGCAGCCTAATCAGCTGTAACGGTTACGTTTAAAGCTGTAAGTTTTCTCCCGCAGTTGTCCAAAATTTGTCCAGTTGTGAATTTGGTGACATAATGCTTTTGATTTCGATCCCTGTTCCAAACCGTGTGTACACGCACTCAGGGAAAACGGACGAGCAATAACTGAACAGTGCTAAATAAAATAAAATAAATACTAGACGATATCCCTAGACATTAGTAGTGAAACGAAAATAGTTTATCCGCTTTAAATAAAGGGTTCAGTTATGAATTCCCTGTGGGTTATCCCGGTCAATATACTTCTGAGGAAAGACGGAGAGCACATCGACCGTAACGTTGTGATAAAAATAACAAATATGAGGGTAATAGTCCAAATATAGTGTAAGTAATGATAACTTCTCATCCCAGAAATTCACCAAGTTTTTATGATTTTTAATAACACAATCAATTTATGATTTGTAATGAAAAGATAATTAAATTACTTAAAAATCGTTTATTTATTTTATGTTCATTATTATTTAACATTTAATGAGATTATCTGAGCTTGACGTTTTTTTTAGAATATCTTCTTTGCAAGGTCGTCTCTTGGACGGGGATGCTCTTAAATCTTCTACCAAGGATTCTAGCCGAGATCCATTTTTGTTTTGAATATTATTTATTGCAGATAAGCTGACTTTTTATATTAATTTATATATACATTTATTTATTCTAACAATTCGTATAACCAATTTTTTAAAATCAAGTCAACCCCAAGCATGGTAGTAAAGCTACTAAGACACAAAGGGTTACTGAGTGTGGTAGAATAAGAATTTAAGAACACCACAAACAAGCGATGCTACCCCACCCAGGACAGTGACTCATTGCGTTTTCTCGGGCTAAGGTTCTCTGCTGACATGAAGTGGAAACATTATATTGAATCAATTGCTATGACTGTTGCTGGTTAACTTGTGCCGTGCTAGATAATTATTTTCCTAACCAGAATCTATCAGATTAATGATTATATTATTAATCCATGCCTCGAATATTTCTGCCACATCTAGTTTAGTGCTCTTGCTATATATTTAGATATATTAATCGTAATTAAATCCAAAGAAAAATCGCACTTCTCGCCTGTGATACTCCATTTCAGCTTCTTTCTTTCTAGCCAAGTTTGATCTTCAAAAATTTAAATGCAATGTCAATCGTTATCTATTGTCTTATTGATTCCTTTTCTTTTATTAATCTCTCTCATTAATAAGGTTTTTCTTTTTCTTATTAATTTCACACGGATTAATCCCTTGTGTCTTAGTAGCTTTATTGCCTTGCTAAGGATTAAATGATAAAAAGGTATAAATTATATCTAGAATTAGAGTTAGAATTAACTGTTATGCAGAGATTATACCTACGATTAGAGCATACTAGCAGTAGAGCCCGGCGTTGCCCGGGGATGTAACAGCAAGAGATAGATCAAGTATCGACCATCATAAAGACTGAAAAATAAAATTGACAAAGATTATTGTTTAAGGTTGACGGACACGCATGTCTTAATTAGTTTTTTTTTTATTTTTTACGAATTGGTCAATCCCAAACAAAAACATTGTTTTCAATCGTTATGAGTCTACCGATGGAATAGAATTTTATTATAAACACTTGTCTTGTAAATGGAATTTTTAAAGCATTCTGAATGTAAAAATAAAGAAAAAAGTGTGCAAGAAACACTACCTGCCAAAAAAATAGTGAAGTTTTGTTGAAATCGGTTGAACAATGAAAAAAATCCGATCCCATATATAAACGAACACACACACACACACACACACACAAACAACCTGGGTTTTATAATAAGTATAACTCGATATGAGTTGTCCCCCTTTCATTCTCGCGATGCCTCTTAATCGTGTTTTCAAATTGATTTCGTAAAAAAAAAAATTGTGTTTTTCAATTTTGGCGCTATCAGAACCACCACCAAGGTAATTTTGCGCAGCCCTGTGAAGTTTTGTTGAAATCGGTTGAAAAATGTAGGAAATCCGATCCAATATATAAACGTACAGGCACACACACACACACACACACAACCTGGGTTTTATAATAAGTATGACTTACCTATTAAGTATATATAACAAATTATTAGAGATAGATATAGATATTATGTCGAGTTTATTAACACAAACAAAAGAATTTATTATAATTTGTAATAAAAAAATAAGTAAATTTCTTTCGTTATTTATTTTATGTTCACTATTATTTAATATTTAATGAGATTATCTGAGTTTGAAACTTTTTAGAATATCTTCTTTGAAAAGTTCGTCTCTTGGACGGGGATGCTCTTAAATCTTCTATCTCTTCTACTTTTAGGCGTGATTCATTTTTGTTTTGAATATTATTTATTGCAGATAAGCTGGCTTTTTATATAATTTTATATTTTATGTATACGTTTATTTATGTTATTTTATATATTTTATATATTAAGTACACGTTTATTTATTCTAGCAATTATTGTGGCGGACATGAGACAGAACCTGGGACGAGCACAACTGGTCGCGACTTGCCTTGTCCCCGCCAAAAAAGAGCCCGTATTTGCTTAGCATGTAAAGCTACTGCAGTTGAAATGAGGGAGAGAAAAAAAAGCACTTACCGCTCTGACGTAATCCATCCTCGGCCAGATAACATAAAAGAATGAGGGGGGACTGGCATCGCATTTTTATCCAATAACGATGCAATGCATTATGGGACATGGACGCAATGCATTATGGGACATGGACGCAATGAATTATGGGATGACAGTAAGACGCAAGGGATTATGGGTACATGAACAACTATAAAAACAACTACTTTTTTTTCCAAGTCGGCGAGTTCTTCGAGGGACGTTCACGGTTGACGGCTAGAACGGGCAGTTAGTGTGATTTGGAGACAGAACTCAGGAAGGAACGACTCAAGTTTGAAATACCAGTTGGGAGAGCTTGAATTTACTCGCTGGTTACTGTTTTCTTCATTCGCCTCAAGCTATTTCGGCGTATTGATTCTTCAAAATGGAAGGCAAAGTCTTTGACGTCCGTTTGATTCAGAATTCAGCGGCGCCCCAACGGATATGCCCATTGTTGAATGGATAGAAAATGTGGAATTGGTCTGCGAACTTTGTGCCATGGACAAGATCGAGCGCATCTTGCCTTTACGACTTCGAGGCGGTGCCCTCGCTGTATATAGACAACTCAGTGGAGAGCAGAGGGCAGACGCGGAACAAATTAAACGGTCCCTTATGACTGCATACGCGACTGACAAATTTAATGCGTTCGACCAATTTATGGGACGGCGTCTTCGCCCAGGGGAAACTGTGGATGAATTCCTGGCTGAAATGCATCGTTTGGCGCGGCTAGTAGGAGAACCGCTACCTGATCGGTGGATGGCATGTGCATTTGTGTCAGGACTGCCACATCATGTTAGGCAGCTTCTCAAAGCTTCTTCCAGGATGGACGACATGAATCTAGAACAGATTCTGACCCGAGCAAGGGCTATTATGACGGATGACGAAGGGTGCCAGGTATTGGCCGCCACATCCGTAGAGCCAACGCACTCAGAAGCT